TAAATTTCAGTCACGTGTGAAATAAAATCATGTGTTCAAACAACACTGAGTGAAAAATACTACAAATTTTTATTCCAGCTCAAATATCATATGTTCGTGTGATAGACTGGATTTTACAAGCCAGTTATAACTAGGCATTTTGTTGATAAAGTTGAACAAAAATGCTCAGAATATTTAGCACATTCTAACCTGTCAGAAATGCTGGTTGACAAGTCATTTTATCAACAAAATCTTAAAGAGGGACTGTTTCTCATTTGAAGGTGAGTAGAGAAATAGTTGTTTTGACAAGGTGCCAATAGAAAATTTGATTATTGAATAGCATTAATATAGATATACAGGGGATGATGGGTAAATTGTTGCAATTTTGTATTTTTCATTTTTGTGTATGCATGTTGTTTTTGATTTTATCAACTGCACAGTATATTAAGGTCAGTTGGGCATCATCTGTGAGGAAGAGAGCACCATGATACAAAACACTTTGCTAGAAATTTGGAAACGGCATGCTGTACTGCTTGGCATTCATGCCGAAAGCTCCAATATGAACATTTCAGAGTGTTTGGGTGTCAATCTGAGGACATTGCAGAGGATTCGGAAAGAGTTGGATGAGTCTAATGGTAATTATGAAGGTGTTTGAGTGATCAAAAGTGATGACAACGTTATGTCTCCATTCATGTTCCCGCAGAGCCTCAGACTCAATACGGAAGCCTACATCAAGTGCCTTGAGGGGGTAGTGCTGCTCTAGAAGACCCTATATTAAGCAACAGGACTCTTGCACCATGCCACATCACTCCCTTACATCTGACCACCTAACTCCCCAGACTCCAAGCCCCTTGATTATTATGTGTGGGGTACAGTTGAACAAGAGACCAACAAAACTCCTTGAAACACCAAAGATGAACTGAAGGCAAGATTACGGCAGCATTCCTCCAGCTTAAACAAAGAGCCTGTCCAGAAGCGTTGCAGGAGATTCCAAGGTTGTCTGGTATTTTTTTGCATAATTTAGATAATTTATCCATCGCATCCTGTATAAGTTGGAGGTTAGAGGACTGTCAGGCATCCTGAAAATGTCCTCTCAGCTCTTTTTGGATGAGGAGCATAATATGGAAGCAACAAATGACTTGGGCACTGGCTATAGAGAATCCATACCTTCTTGCTATGAAGAAAAAGAAGATAATTAGTAAAGACTAAATGAAAAAATAGACAAAATGCACTGGGAGAAAGAAAAAACTATCATAAATGTTTTGTCCCTCTTCTTGTGGGCACTCTGAGATATCAGAGATAGTTTTAGTACATTAAAACATTTTAAAACAAAAACTACTTGGTCATATGTTATGTTTGTCTCTAGCTGTTTTAAGCACCAAAGAGGCCAGCATAATCTCCCGTCTTAACTAATGGGGTCAAAAAAAAGACCATTAACCAACAATTCTCTTCCGAACAAACGCTCTGACAACAAACGAGCAAAACATTTAAAGACTGCTTTACAACTCACAATTCCAAACATGCTTTCGGAACTATATTCAGAAAAACTGCCAGAGTTTAATAATCTTCTTCTTGTAGTTCTCGGTTGAGTCCATTATGATTTCCAAATGTGTCTGGTGACAACACACAAAACGTTTGAAAACGCTTCTTGCGCAAACAAAAACGAACGCCTTCTTAAGATCCTGAAATGGCAATGTCTTGCAACCCGTTTCTGCCTGGTGTTCCATCTTACACTATGGTCTCAACAAGCTTCCTCAGTGGTGCTCTCTTCAGATGTCTCACTGACTCATCCCGCGCAAGGACGACATCGGGCAACGACTCTTGGTTGTGCTCTTCCTGTGAATATAACCACCAAACGACATCATCATCATCAGAAGAAGAAGAAGAAGAAGAACTAACGTAGTTGCTGATGGAATAATCCTTCCTGTACGCTGGATGCACATCTTTTATGTGGCGCGGTATTCGATCAACAGAGACGGAGTGTGAACTATTAATTTGTGTCACCGTACCCTTGTTGAACTGTGTCGTACACCTTCCGTGTGGATTTTTCACCCAGACAGTCTCTCCTACCATATAAGGATTGGCAACTGTGTCATCACGCACCAAAGCTGCGTCGATACCCTTAATGTGGACCCTGTAGGTGTAGGTTGCATTCACGGGTGCAGTTGAAGCTGCTTTATTGTCCTTTGGGGTAATGTTGTGCCAATATACAGCTTACAAAACTGAACACCGTGTTCTTGTCGCAATGCGCTTTATTGTGCAATGGGATCTCTCAACTATCCCATTCCCCAATGGTACGTGGGCACAGCGAAATCGTATTTGTACATTCCACATCTTTGCAAGAGCGGCAAACCTCTCTCCACAAAACGCTGCACCATTATCCGTAAGCAGCTCAATCGGTGGCCCTCTTTCACAAAACACTACTTCCAACTCCTTGATGATGCTAGCAGAGTTTTGGCGGTGCAAGGTCTTCCAAATGATAAAACGACTATGGCCGCAGTCATCAGTGTCAGGTATATTTGATGTCTGAAATGGGTTACATCCATCGCAACCCTGTGCCAATTTTCCGCGACATCAAGTCTGCCCAGTTTCCAATGCACTGGGACCGGGTCAATTGACTGGCATTCCTTGCATTCCCTAACCACCACTCGCAGCTCAGATTTTGTTACTTATGGGTTGATCAACTTCACAAAATAGAGTGTTCTCTTCACACCAGGATGTCCGCTGGATTGATGAATGGCTCGTACTTGAGCAACATCTCGCTCTTCAGCCAAAGCGCACATAGGTTCTCTGGGTTCCATTATTTTGCGCATTTCATTTAACCATCGCTGCGGTACTCTAGTAAGTTGGTTGGCTCGATTGTTGCATGACTTGACAAGCTCTACATCAATGTCCAGCTTGTATTCTAAGGCCAACTCTTAGAGTGTCGCTAGCCGACGTCTGATTAGCATCTCGGAGGCTGCCTTGGTGCGCACTCTCGTCCGTCTGGACAGAGTGTCAGCTATCCAGCAATGCACACATGCTGAGTCTGTCCGTAAATGAATGGTTTTAGCCTTCCATTGTAATGCAAGGTTGACACCTTGCAACACAGCATCGAGTTCAGCCAAGTTGATGTGCTTGTCTTCGTGCACCGGTCAGAGCCAGCTTGCATCTTCTGCCACGGTGCCATTGCTCTCCACAACCACACCGGTGGCTAAGGAGCTCACATCTACCCACACAGTTACATTTTGCTCACTGATACACCAGTCACCTTTCACTCGATCATCTGGGCTAGAAAAGGGTCCTGCACTTCATCGTCCCATCCAGTGGTAACAGTGTTTGCCCTCTACTTCACAAATGTCGTGGCGACACGTAACCAACCGCATCCACAACGCCACGCAGTTTTCCCTTGAAAATGACCCAACAACTTCCCAATTCTTAGCCGAAAGACAATTGACAGCAGGTAAATTTCCTTGGGGACTACTGGAAGTTCACATCCAAAACGTCGTCAATACATCATCGCAGTTTTCCTTGCTCCTCCCAGACATCCAATCCCAACACGCGTGTGCCCATTCTTAGCCACTCTGGTTCCTTGATGTGCGAACCACAGAACACACACTGCAGCATTTAGTCCTCTCATTAACAAAAATGTTGTCAATATAAGAGGAGGAGGCTGCATTGACGATCTTGTCCTGGCTCAGGATGGTATTAACAATGGCCCACATGATTAAAGGGGCAACATTGAGCCCCAAATCTATCCAGTGGGTTAGACAATTCCTTTTGTCCCTTAATCTCCAACTGTTTGGAATGGCCAAAAGGACTTGTCGATGTGTACCTGCAGATAGGCCCGGTAATGGGTCCAGCACTGCAGCATTTGGTCCTTCACCTGGCCGGCTTATTCCCGTAATTTTGAGAACAAACATCTGTGATGGCCGTCGTGTGTGTCAACGATGGATTGAGTTCCCAATAGTCCACAGCAGTCAAGTGTCCCTCTGTCTACTGTAAGCACACGTGTTGATTTTCTTGTCCATGCTCGACAGCATGACTTGCGGACTAGTGACTGTGCATCCTGTATCCACCAGAGCTATATGTGGTATTCCATTGATACGAACTGTCACTACAGGCAATGCGCCATTTACAAGGGTTTTGGGGAGGAGATTGGCGCTGAATTCTCGCCCCCTTGCCCGTTTCTCGGACAACACCAAGCAATGTGCCCTTGCCGATGACATTGATAGCAAGTGATGGTCCGTCGGTGCTTGGTACCAGCACCTTTGGATGGTTCACGACCCAGGAGACAATCGCTCGCCCTATAATTGGGTCCATCACATTTATAGCACCTTGTGTGCACATCTGTTTCCTTCAACTGTACAGCCACTGCGGCCTGCTCCGTAGAACCAATGCACTTCTTCAAAATAGCACGAGCTCATGCCAGCACATGTGACAAATCCAGGTCTTCCATCTGGGATGACGCTCTTAAAAGCTCCTCTGCATGCTCAGGCAATCCAGCAATGAATGCACACTGCAAACACTTTTCTGATACGCCACCAAACAGAACTGCGCAGTTCTGCCAAAAAAGACATTGACAACTTCTTGCGGCACAAAAACGAACGCCTTCTTGCGAACCTGAAACAAACGCCTTCTCTTCCGAACGAACACTTTATGACAACAAACGAGCAAAACGGCACCCAAGACTGCTGTCGACGGACGACCGACCGCAACGGCTTTTGTTGCTCAAGAAAAGACACCAAATGACTCACGCGTCTTCTTCTTATAGTCCTCGATCGAGTCCATTATGGTACTCCAAGGTGTGCCCGGCGACAACACACCTACGCAGTTTGAGGACACCTCCGTGCATGCTGTGGAAACAAGTGATAGCAACCTTTCTCACTGGCCATGTTGCAATTTTTATCAGTTTTATAAATTTCACGAATCAAATATTATGATTGGTCTAACATATCACTTCTCAAATTAAACAATGTATTTTCCTTGTTGTAATTAAATATGGACAATTTCTGTATTTAATTTACTTTTTGTTTATTTAGATGTGCTTGAAGTCTGGCAATATTTATGCAATTTCAAATGAGGTAGCTGTCCCATTGTTGTTGCCTGGTGAAGAAGGAGATATTACTGTACATCTGTTAGCTCCCCCAAAACCAGGTGCAGCTTTTTCCTTTTTTGTTTCTTAATATGTGATTTTGTCCATACTCATTGTTTTTTCTTATTTATTTTAGTACTAAACTGGTAGGTATACTAACTAAAGTTAATTTATCTTTCTTTATAAGATTACATTTTAACACAGTCAATAAGAATGGAATAGTATAAACTCTTTGTTAACTCCATAGTACAGTAGATATTTTACTTGTACAGTCTCCAAGATAGAAAGCATTTCATATTTATTTTTATTTTAAAATGGTAAAGTGTTCAGTTGAAAAATTAAATAATTCTAAATTTATTTGTTAGATTTAATGAAAAATAACTTTCTAGTTTTATAACTGTTGAAACTATTTTATGGACAGTGAACATTGTTTTCCCATGATATAAAATATGATAGTTCTGTTCAATCATATTTGTAGAGCAACTTTCAACCTTGAAATTTGTTTGTTTCTGATAAAAATGCTTTAGGAAGCTTATAAATAAAATGTTACAAAAAATCGTTTCTGATCTTTCAATCTTGCATGCATAAAAAATTACTGTTGATTTGTTAATAGATATGTTCCCTTTCTACATAAAGTATATTAATAAATTGGCAGCATTATGATAAAAAAAACATTTATTTTATGCAACAAATATTTTTATTTTTAAATGTAAACTTTGTTGTCAGTGCATTTAATTCAATGGTGAATATTAATTGTTGAACATTTATATAGTGAAAATTTCAGGTAAAAAATCAGCTAATAACTGCATGCCAGATTATGATCTTAGTGATCGATCCTTGTATATCAAATATGAACCTCATATTGTTATGTTTTGGTGATGACTGCAACATTTTGAAAAATTATTGAAAGTCTTTGGTCTTGATAAAGTATTTGTTCCTTAGAAATAGTTTTGTTTTAATTCATGCATTTTAGATGCATTTTTTCCCTATTAAACTGTCTTCCTAATAATTATTAGCTCAATGATAGTTATTTTATTTAGCTAAATTTTGTAGAACTTGATACATTTTATAAGTAATTTAGTCAATCACATACAATAGAATCTATTAGTTTTATTGAATTCTTATAGCATGTGCTTTTATTATATGCATTTCTAGAATTAATTTGGTTCACCTATGCAAACATTTATTGCTTCAAAACAATTTTTAATTTTAATATTTAAATTCTGACTTTTTTTTAGGTAAATACCAAAGCAATTGGATGTTATATTCTGGTTCACAGTCATTTGGCCCTTGTGTTTGGTGCAGTATTGTTGTGGAAAATGATGGACAGGCAGAATCAAGTGTTTCTATTAAGAACAAAGAAACTCTTGCAAAGGAGGTAAAGTTACATAAACTTTATTTAGATTCTTTTCTCATTTCTCATCATCCTATAGCAATATTCAAAGATACTATGTATAGCTTTTGTTGAGCTGTTTCAATCATCTTGAGCTGTTGTTTATCATAATGTAGTTGCACATTATTGTTAACTGGATTGCTTTGGCCACTGTTGGAGATCACAATTTTGGCTAACATTAATCAAAACATTATTTAACTTGATAAAATGAATAATTACATGAAGAATTTGAACATTAATTAACTTCATGGGACATAATAATGAGAGCTACAAATTAAGAATCTATTTGTTCAAAAAATGTGCAAGTCTAGTGTAAGTATACCTGGATTGCTGTAAGATTTTATTTTATGAATAAATGCAGAAATTAGTTTCCATTTTACTGAGAAATTTACTGGAGGGAAAAATTTAGAGTAAAATAAAATATAACGCTTTGTAATTAAACTGTATGTGTTATTATGTAATTTAGAAGGTTATTACCAAGCACAAAAAACACTTTTTTTATAAAATTTTGTCAGTGTTAGTCTAGATTTGGTTATAGCAGGTTATTGTTTCTAGTGGCTGAAATATGTAGAGTAGAAAGATTATAGAGGCTTCTCAGGTATGTTTCAAACTCAGATTTTTAATGACACAATTATAGATTAATACCCATCTGGATATTTGGCTTGCATAACATAATTTTAATCAATTCACAAATAATAACTTGTGATGTAGAACAAATGCAAATATTAAAGGATTTTCTTAACATGTCACTACATACGTTAATGATAAATATTGCTTATCTCTGTCCCGTAATAGTTGTTACATTTCTATATTTTCCTTTTTGATTATTATCAACTCTTATTAAAGGTATCTGTCTATATTTCTGAGATGAGGTATTATGTACATTATTTACATTATTCGGACTATTGTCCTCATCTTTGTTGCCATATTTATTACAACGTTTTGGCCATTGCATGCTCCGGCCTTCTTCAGGTGGTTGGAATGTCGAACTGAACCCTTTTTGCTTACTGGGGTAGACTGTTCTAGTTTCACATGCCATGTTTAATGGATGTCAGTTATCAGTTACCTCCTGTTAATTTCCCTCTGAAACTTCTCCACTGCCTTAACCGGGCATTGAACCCACACTCTTTGGGTCCTGTCACTGGATCTAACCAACGCCTTTATCCACTGTGCCATGTGTCTGAAGAAGGCCGGAGTGTACAACAGCCGAAATGTTGTAATAAATATGGCGACAAAGATGAGGACAATAGTCCGAATAATGTAAATAATGCTTATTAAAGGTCTTCTCTACAATTTTATATTGTCACATTTAAACATGATAGGACTAAATGTTTTTAAATAATTTAATGTGTCTTAAAGTGAACTCTTCAAAAATGAACAAAAATAGAGATTTTCAAAATTGTGCTTCCTATGTTTTAGCAAATAATATCAAATGTAAAGACGCGAAAAATATGCAGTGGTGCATGATGCTTGAGCTACTGTGTTACAACATTCTATAAGTGGGAAATTGGATGGCACTATAACTGCTGCTTCAAAAGAACTGAAAGTACATTGTGTCCACAATTGCCCGTATTATGGAAGATAGTACATCATGGAAAAAAGAAGTGATAGTCTGTTTGAATGTTAATGCTGGTAAATAAGGAAGGCAATGGAAAAATCATTTGCAGGCTTTTGGAAAATTGAAAATTAATCCCTTTAATTTAAAGAGGTATAATTAAAAAATTTTCATACACTCAAAACAACTAAACATCAAATCTTTAAAAAAAGTAAAAAAAAAAAAACATTTAAATGCATTTTGTCAATGAAGTTTTTGCTAAAGGAAATAAATGCAAAAGATAATAGTTGTGTAGCCATTATGCACTTTTTAATGGTCATTTCCACAACATGAATCATATAAATGCAAAATGGTTTTATATTGCAAAAACTTCTTGCAATTTGTTGGTGTGGATGAAGCGAAATCACATAGAGTTTATAATAAAAGAGTTATATTTGGCATCAATAGCAAAACAAGGAGAAGATTTGCAGAGATGACAATACATTAAATGGGAAATATGGTCATTTATGTGAACAGAATATGCCTAAAGAAATTTAAAAAAATTATCCAGAAATAATTCTTCTAAATATAAAAAGAAAGTTAAAGAAAAAACATTGATGTGATAAATTTTCAGTAAATTCATAAATGTAGTCCATTTATATCCAGCAAGATAATGGCAAACTTTACATGATAAGCACAGATCTGAATTTAATCAAAGGAAATTTCAAAGGAGGATGTATTCTACAGTTAAGATATCAACTTTCAAATCATTCTTATTTAAATGTACTGGATCTTATATATATATCCAGGATCCATTACTTATACACACATGCACATATAAGCCTATTCAATCCATGCAGCATCAAGTGTTGATACCAATATAGATAATCTAATTCTGAAGCCGATGAGATCAATGCAAGTATCCCCCAAGTGTCCTTGGTTCTACCCTCTTTTTGCTTTATATTGATAATATAAGTGCATACACTAATCTTTAATGAATATCTATGCTGATGATACAACAGTATATGGGTGCCCTTCCAGAAATCTAGATGACCAGAACCTGGCAACCGATCTCCTCTCTGACCAAAGCCCTAACATCTCAATGGGGGAATAACTGGCTAGTAGCATTCAATACCTTAAAAATCAAACTAGTAATGTTCCATTCTCACTTAGCAGAATTCAAACATTCGGCTCTTGCGATGAATGGGTGTTCTCTCAAGGAGGCCCACCTCTTTGCCATGGACGTGGCCAATTGGGACTAAAGTTCACTCCAGACTTCAGTTGGATCTTGTATATACGATTCATTGCTAAAGATTCTGGAAAAATATTTGGTTCTTTGTACTGCTACAGTAAGTACTTGTTTAACTATACCCTATCTTTACAAGAGCCAGATGGAGTATTGCTGCCATATTTGGACTAAAGCTGCCCACTTCTTATTTTCCAGTGTTGATAGTTCAGAAGCATCTGCACAGCCTTGTGAGTGATGAATTGTTTTCTATTCTACAAACCCTTTCCCACAGACAGAACATTGCAAGCCTCTTGCTACTCTATTGCTATTTACATGGCAAATATTCTGATGAGATACATTGCTTAGTTCCATGAGTTCTGTCATAACAAAGACTTGCCATGTCATTTACACTGGGATGGAGTATCCCCATTTCCTTCATAGTCCATTAGTAAGAAGGAAGTTTCACTTAGACATCTTCTTCCCAAGAATCACTACTTTGTTGAACATACTCTTGAGAGGATGCTTACTCGCCCACTACAATCTTAAACTCTTCAAGTCTCGGGTTGACTGTTATCTTTTCTACATATTCTTATAAACTACACTAGTTATCTCTTACTTTTACTGCTCATACAACAACCTTTTTCAATAACCCTTTCCTTGGGTGGCTCTTGGGCCTTGTATTGAGTGAACTTTAATAAAAAATAAAAAGCTGATAAAAATGCTTTTAATAAAATAGCAAGGATAACATTAGATAGCATTTTCTTAACCTTGTAAATTTATGGAGGATATTATACTGTCAATTGGAAATAATTCATTTAAAATTAGGCATAGGACTATAGAAAAACTTAGACATGAAAATCCTCTACCAAACATCATTAAATGTAACTGGATGCTATTTTAAATGCCAAAAATGCTTAAATAGAAATTAAATTATTTAAATTTTTTTCAAAGTTAATAGTTCTAAGAATTGAATTAATAAACTTTCATTTCCATTGACTTTATCTTTTGTTTTTATTTATAAATAAAGTAACTATTTGGCACTAAATGTAATAATTATTTGGCGACAAAGGTATCGTTTGATTCTACTGACTTTTGAACAGCAACTTAGTAACTTGTCTATGAAAATTTTTATTTTATACAAGTATAGTAATAATGATGTCATTGCTTAAAGTATTTTCCTCATTTATTAACAAATTATTATTGAAAAAAAATACTCTTATAACGAGGAAAAAACGTCTGGGATTAGCATGTGTTTATTGCAGCATGCAGCAGAAATAGCTAATACGTATTTGTGTTGTTCCTCTGCTGTCCATGCAAATGACTTTGCTATATTTAAGCTAAGCACAAGACAGTTATCCACCGTTTGCTTGTGGGCTCTCTGGAGTGGCAAGTATAAGTTTGTGCTTGGCGACCATTGGTGTGTTAATGAGCATACATTAAGTATTCATTTTAGACACACCAGTATTTGACTGGTACACTAATATTCTAACTGGCAAGACAATACTAAGTACCAAGGCAGTGAGTGAGATGTTGATTAGGAGAAGGCTGGAGACCTTCTCAGAGTTAGTGAAGGAGTATAATTTGATGCCACCAAAGATGAAATTGTGGCCCACCAAATACTGGAAATACACTTGCACAGTGGGCATCCCAGGGTTAAATGAACCACTTACTTTGTCAGAAGAGTCATTCCCTCTCATCTGAAATGGCCATCAGATCAGCTATCAAAACTTGAATAAAGTTATGTATAATTGATCAAGCACCAATCCGTTGGCAGAAAGGAAAACTACAGGTGTCTGGCATGTGGTGCAGACTTGGGATGGACATAACTCACAGTGGTGCCCACTCCTTGAGCTTGATCGACTGTGGGGCAATGTGATTTTCTATCTGGCAACCATTATGCTGACAGGATTCTGAAAACGTGATGCAGCAGCTTGAGACTGTATTTCTAGAGAGGAAACACCTTTAATGACATTCTGATAGATAGAAATACAGCATTCACTAGTATGACCTTCAGAACCTTTGCTAATAAATGGTGCATCCACTTATGCTTTTGATGTGCATATATGTCATCTGAAAACTGCATTGTTGAATAGTTCCACAGAAGTGTAAAGCAAATTTCACCTAGGAAGCAGTGTTCTATCCAGGAGGTGCTATACTCATATAATGTAACACCAGGCATAGCATCCACAGTGCTACTGCTCCTGTTAATGTACTCTACTTATATGAGTTTCGTGTGAAGAGTATTAACAAAACACCCTCACCAAAACTTGAACCGATGTATGAAACCTACAAGAAAGGAGATGCTGTACTAGTGATAAATGCATCAAATAGGTGTACAACTAGATATAAAACAGGAAAGGTTACCAGAGTCTTAATTCTACAGACAGTTTTAGTTGATGGAAAGACCTCTGTCCCCTTCTCTATGTGAGTAAGTCAATGGATGATGAGGCAACAGTGTTATCATCAACTGAAGATGAAAATGACCTTAGCAGATGATAATGACGATGACCAAGACAATGATGATGCCTACAACATCTCAGGAGCATCCCAGAAAGCTAGAGAGTCTATCATGAGTCTGCTTCAGTGAAGTACCCAGTTGAAAAGACCACCCCCAACCTGTTGGTGTTTTGGTTAGGAGACTAGTGGGGAGTATAGCAAGAAAAAAAATGGCTGTGATTAGCCTGTGTTTATTGCAGCAGGTAGTGAAAATAGCTGACAAATATTTGGTGGCATTCCTCTGCTGACCATGCAAATGATTTTTCTATATTTAAGTTGAGCACAAGATAGTTCCCCAGTTTGCTTGTGGGTTCTGGTGTGGTAAGCATGATCACAGTATGATTCATGTTAGTTCAGTTTGCGTTTGTATCCATTTGTGTATTGGCAACTGTTGGCGTGTTGACAAACTGCATTAATTCTCCATTTTTGACGCACATATTTATAACTATTTTCTGAATTTTTTTTCTTGTTGAGACCAAATCAATTTAACCTGTTTTTGTTTAATGGCACCTTTTATATTCTGATATTAAAAAGTGTTTTTGCTAAGAATTAGTTTTCAAATTAAGTGATATTTATTATATAAATTTTACTTTTATATATATTTCTTTATTTTTGCATTCAGTATTTTGAAATCTTTTAAACAATTAGATTATCTATTGGAAATAATCTTTTGTATTCTGTTTTTATTCCCTTTCGTTTTTCAATGAAATTATTAAACTGCCTCTATTTTGTTCATATCATGTTTTAAACTGTTGATGTATACATTGAAGAAGGAAAACCTTTTGCGCAACTTTCTAGTAAGGTGTTGGTCATCTATGTATGCCCAAAACTATTCTTACTCAAAGTATGAACTCTACAAGATCACTGGTGGTTTCATCTAGGATGTGGTGCCTGGATGTAACAATATAGCAGGTCCTTTAATTGATGTCATTTATGTGGTGGATGTTTTGCAGAGTGGTTTAACATAAGCCATAAGCACTCAATGTAATTGAGATATGGCAAGTTTAATATCCAGGGCAATACAGTGATGTCTTTCATATTCCTGAAACTGTTTCTGTACAATTTGTGCAATGTAGCAAAGCAGAGTGTTGTAATGAAAGATACTACTGGTATCAGAACATGTTGTGGAGTGATGTAACTGGTTTTCAATGATGATGTGGTAGATGGTATGTGAAAAAGTACTTTTCATATAAATGACAGGACACATTATTTCCAAACAGAACATTACCCAAAACATCACAGTGCATCTTGCTGTCATCACTTCCACAAGATAATGATGCCTATATAACCTGCTATCCACTTATTCAGAACAAAGCAAGACTTATCAGATCAGGTGACCACCTTTAATTGATACAAAGTTCAATTTTGATGCTCATGTACATTTTGAAGATGCTATGCAGACCTATATATGACAAGGATTGATGTTTTCTTTTATAAATAGTGTAAATAAGGTTTGATATGCTGTGTTGTGATGCTTTCCTTTCTTCATCTTGATTAAAGTTATCTGCAATTTATGCCATATTAAGCCTTCTATTGACTCATATTTGCTAGGAAACCTCTATTCACTTCTTGCATTGATAAGTCTTGGTTACCCAATGTTGATAGGTATTCACCACAACTGAATGTGATCATCCTATGAGCTGTATTGTTTTGAAAATGCTCTGGCCATGACTCAATCCTCTTGCCCATAACTGTGCAATTCAACACATCAAAATAAAGTATTTGAGGTCATCATCTTATCTATTTCTGATCTTGACTTGTGCAGCTCTTATAACTGCCATTCTTATCACATATTGCTAGTCATAATATTTTAGCTCATCACTGTATAGTCTTTTAACAATGATCTGATGTAAGACCTAAGATCTATTACTGTTCTTCATGCCAGAATTTATGAAACATATTATGATTGGTTTATTTTTTCTTTCCTCACTTTTTATTTCAGGGTTCACCTATTCCTTCAACTGCTGTGATGGTCTCTTCTGTTGACCATCAGCAGGTAAGGACAGAATCTCCATCAGTTTCTAAGACAGATAACAATGTAGATAAAGTGTTGACTAATGCTGTGGCTGGAGCAATGGCCAAACTGAACTTGGAGCCAACTAGTGGTCATTTGCAGCAAGACCTACTTTCCTTTGAGATGTTGAACATGCATGATAGATCTGTTGCCAGAGCTTCCCATACAGCCACACCAAACAATACTCCACTTGGTGAGTATTTGTTGTCCTTTATTCAGATAGTGATTAAATTGTAGGTTATAATTGTATAGAAATACATTATGCATATTACTGAAAACTTCCTTATATCCAAAATATGTGCATTTTTATTAAAATTGTTTCAAAAGTAATTATCAACAAAATGATAATTATTCTCTAAAATAATAAATTATGATTAAAGCAAAACAATAATAAATAATTATCTAAGATATGTTTTTAAATATTTGTGAATGCAAATAAATCTTCAATATTTATATATATTGATTCCAAAATTTGCAGAACCGTTAGAAGACACGGTGATAGCTGCTTTAAGGGATGAAAAAGAATTATCAGTGTTACTATGAAATACAATTCAGGAGTTACCTGTGACTCTAGAAGATATATAAAAAAAAAGCAGCTGAGAAGAATGAATTCATTAAAAAAAAAATGAAGAAAAACGCATGGCTGAAAGAAAAACTTAAAAAAAGGATCTAAAATATCACATTTTTCAATCTGTGAACAAATGCTATTATATGCAGATAGAGTAGTAATGCCATATACACTGCAAAAGAAAATCCTGAATGGCATGTCAAGAATGAAATCATTAATGTGTAGCTATATATATTGGCCTAGCATGGACGAAGATATTGAAAAAATGGTAGAAGAGTGTAGAGGTTGTCAACTTGTGGCAAAAGTACCACCAATAAAAATTCAGCGATGGCCTAAAATGGATGTCCCGTGGACGAGGTTACACATCGACTACGTTAGACCTCTAAATGGTTACTAGTACCTTAGAATCGTAGACAGTTTCTCCAAGTGGCTGGAAATATTCAAATGTAGACATCCGCATATACTATGAATGTACTAAACAAGCTTTGTAGTCATTTTGGTGTACCAAAAACTTTAGTTAGTGACAATGGGACGCAATTTACCAGCAGAGAATTTAAGAATTTCTGCACATCTTTGTCCATAGACCACATTACGTCCTCTGTTTACCATCCTAAATCAAATGGGTAAGTAGAACGATTTGTGGGTACTTTTAAAAGAGCTCTAAGAAAGAATCAAGGCATGGACACTGATGAGAGGAGTATACAAAAGTTTTTAGCAGTTTACAGAATTACTCCCAATCCGAAAATAGATTCAGGCCTATCACCAGCCAAACTGATGTTTGCAAGAAAAATTCAGTCAGTGTTTAACAGGCTGTTGCCTAGTCCAACAAAAAGAGTGGTGTAAAAAAAAAAAAAAAAAAAAAACTTTGCGACCAAATTTTACAAGACAGGAGATTTCTTTAGAAATTATAGGGGTGGAAAAAACTTCTGGGAAGACGGAATTATCACCAAAAGACTTGGCAGAGTGATATACATGCTCAAAGAAAGATTTGAATGTAAGAGACATTTAAATCAGTCAAGGCCAAGACATAGGAAAGATGTCACGCCTAGTGAAGAATTACCAATGGTGGTAATATATGACACATTTGAAATACCAGTGCCCATATCTCCACCAGTAATGATGGAAGTATCTCCAACCCCACCAGTTCCAGAAGTATCAGCTTCCTGAAAACTGCTAATGCCTCAAATCTCACCAGCACAAAAATTGGTGAGAAGGAAAAGTACTAGGAAGATGAAAAGTGTCCTGACCCCCAAAAGGTATTGAGCAAAATTTCATGGGAAAATTAGCTCCGGGGAAGGTGTTGTAATGCAATGTCCCACATTCCCTATTGCCTATGTGGACTGATTATATTAGTAGCTATATATAGTGAGCACAGGATATACTTGGGGGCTTGCTTCGGTAATTAGTTGGAGATTCATCTCCAGCTAAGCTGGTTGAACACTCTGCTTTTGGGTGGAGAGGAACCCAGACGAGACTCTGCTGAAGTTACCTGACCCCGTTTTTTTATGGTGTCTATGGGGAATTTTTGCCCTAACCTATGGGCTTGGATACCCCACATCAAATTTGGCCTTGTGCCACATCAGACCGCGTGGGTCGGTTGGCAAATATCCTTGCTTTGGGAATTAGTAGCCTGCCACTTGATTCCATGTCTTTCAGTAGTATATTCTCTTGTACAATAAACCTCTCTTCTTTCATCTACGCTCTTGTTGCTGTTCCTTTCACTCAAGTACCAACTTTGTCTTTTTGTAACCTCTTTAAGGATATAACAAAAAATAAAATAATTTTTAACATTTAGGAATATAAATTTTGTTCATAAATAGTATCCATTTAATATTTAATTATTACGACGAGACAAGAAATGTAAAATTTATTGAATCAATAAATATTTTTATTAGTATTATTATTTAGATTTTAACAAAATTTTTGTATTGGCTTCTCAGGATTTTTTTTTCCATTTGCCAAAAGATTTTATCGCTTTGTTCAAGAGCAAGAAATAAAAAAAAACAAATTTGTGCTTAAAATAAGTAATTCTTAGCTTGATTTGCTAATTCTTACTTTGGATTTAAAAAATGTTGTAGATGTGAGTCCTCCCAAATCACCAACTCCTGACATGGATCAGCCTACAGTCTCTAGTAGCAATAGCAGCAGTGTAGAACTTCTGCCAGAAGATATGGATACTGAAAATAATCACTTTGCCAGTGAACTGGCTCAGCATATTGGTGGCATGACTTTGAAACCTGGTAAGTTGGGAAAATTATTTCCAGAGATTCTTTTAAATGTATATTTGTAAGCACTATAGATATTTTAGAATTTGATACGTCATTTTTGTGTTTACTCTGTTATGCTTCAACTAAAAAGCTCTTAAGAATCTTTTCATTGTTTTAATAGTTTATTTGATGTTATTGAAAGTGTGTACTGAAAATTTGATCTTTTTAATAGTAACATTTGGTTTTATTAAGCTATTATGCAGCCAGCTTAATCAACTGTAAATTGTTTAACCATTCCCAATGTAACAGCTAGATCGGTCATTTGTTTACAACTGAATTTGATAAAATTGATTGGCCATACAAGAATATATACACTTTTGAATAAAACTGAGTATTATGGAACCTTCTTTTGAAATTAGTGATTTATTTATGATTTTTCATTATGGATGGTAAAATTTTGATACTATTGCAACTGAATATAGATTATTAATGCCTGACTGGGCTTTAAGACCATTCTTGGTACTAATGATCAGTTTGAATTGGGAGGAAAAAGATGAATTTAATTTTGAAGATGATTATGTTTATAATATATATTGTATGTTTTGATAATTTTATTACATTCATTTTACATGGAAATGACCAAGCCTGAAAAAAAAAAAAACTATCTATGCCTATGCCATGTAGACTGAGCATATTCTTACCATATACCAGAACAGCACAGCACTCTAAACATATATGGTAACATAAAAACAAAAATCAAAACACACTAAAAATATCATGGAAAATTTGGAAAACAACACCATATAAAATAGCTATTAAATTTTTTTTCTAATCATTTCTCTCCAAGCAAGGTGATAAAACCTTTTAGAACAAGGGGTTGCTGAAAGTGAAAGAATGTGAGAAAAGGCATTATTAAGGGGAGAGGACAATAAATGATGCGATCTAGCTGCCGATTTTACTACTGTGCTTAAATTTGTAATGTCAAGGTACCAAGAGGAAAGCTTACCCGAATAATTACATTGAAAATATTTATAAAAGAAGTTACAGTTACATGTTATGGCAGTGAAAAAATGATTAAGGTTTATATGCCTGGTCAGGGCCAATAACGTTGCAGATTCTTCTTTGAAGTTTCTGTCTCATAATTACTTCTATTAAATAGTTACCAGAATAATTTAAAATAACTGTTTCTTCTAATTCAATAGCAATTAGAATAACACAATAAACACATAATGCTCTAATGATTAACGTATATAAATACTTGAGCTATAATCCAACCCACATGGTCTGAAGATTGTGTTCAAGTATGAAATATAAATAATTACATTTTTCTGCTTTTCTATGACTTAGTTTCATGTGTATGAACTGTTTATTTGTCTGTGGTCAAACAATCACCAAGTGTTTAAAAAGCACAATCAGTACTTTAATTAGGTTGCAAAATTTAAGTATCACATTTTTATACATTGTATTTTTACATTGCTCTGTATGGACACACACACACACGTAATACCCCACATTGGCATGGGGTATTATGTATATTTATTAATATATACTTAATAGCTCTGTTATTTAGCATTGAGCACTATTTTTCTTACACCAAAGTATATATATATATATATATATATATATATATATATATATATATATATATATAATGTGAAAAGTGTATATAAATATAAACAAATATATATATGTATAATTATTTATATATTATATGCTTGGTACTTATTAGAAAGTGCTCAATATCAGAGATAGAGCTAACATTTGGTTGGATAGATGTGAGTTTGTGACCCTGGGTTTCACGCTTTTTTTTTTTTTTTTTTTATGCAATCTACATAAACCCAAATTTTTTAAAACGCAGTCTACATAAACCCAAATTTTTTAAAACGCAATCTACATAAACCCAAATTTTTAAAACATTAATCAGTTTGTCTGACGATCGCTAAAGCGTGAAACCCAGGGTCACAAACTCACATCTATCCAACCAAATGTGTATATATATATATATATATATATATATATATATATATATATATATAATATTGAGCACTGGTTTTATAGTGTCTTCATTATGTAATTATGTACTTTATTAAATGATATACAGGGTACAGCATGAATACTGTTACAAAAGAAAAAGCTTATAACTCCTAAAAAATTTATTATATCAGCATACAATTTTAGCACAAAGTAAATATTAATCTGTTAAATAACACCATAAAATCTTATTCAATATGGTCCCCCTTTAGCCTTCACCATGTGTTAAAGTCTTTCAGGAAAGTCATTGATGATGACAGTTTCCATGAATATTTTGTCCTATACTCTTCAATTTTGCCTTCAGAGCTTCAATATTGTGGTGCTGAGTAGAACAGGCCTCACTCTCAAGAACTTCCCACTAACAATAGTCAAGATTTTTTAGTATGTGGTGATGAGGAAGTCCATTCATCCTTAGTGATGAAGCTAGGACAATTGTCTCTGCACCACTGCTGTGTTACATGAGCAATATGGATTGTCACTCCATCTTGTTGAAGTGTCCAATGTTGATCACCATAAGTAGCATTTCACCATGGCTTTGAGTGCATCTTCCAAGATGTCCTCCATGGACACTTCCTTGTTGATTTTTACCCCTTCAGGCATGAAAACAAGAGGAGACTTTCCTCTTTCTGAAATGGCTGCCCAAATTGTATCTGATTCTGGTTTCTGAGTTCTCAGGCATTTTCCTAAAGCGACAGGAACTGACTGATGACTTGTTGAAAGAACACGATCATATTGACGATTAAAAGTCCATTCAACACTGAACAGTTTCTTGTCAGGGAAGATAATGTTTTGCATCACAAATCCATTTCAGTAACTGCTTACTTCTTTGAAGCCTCTTTTTCATTGTGGCTGCTGAAAGAAGCTGTCTCTTGGTTATCTTGTAGGGCAACATCCTGAGATCTTTTCAACATAGCCACCAATGTTTCAGCCAATTTTCTCATTCACCTTCTTGGATTACAACTGGTTTTTTCACGCATATGTTTAATGAATTTTGGCATTCTAGACGTGTGAGGATGTCCTGGTCTCAGTTTATCTTTGATGGAGGAAGTCTCATTGTATTGATCAATTGTCCTTTTGATAAACATGGTATTGATTCCAAATTGTTTTCCAGCTTTAAAATCTCAGGTGAAGTTAAAGTCCATTTTCATGTCGCTTAATTATAGACTTTCTTTTAATTTCTATAGACATTGTTGCCAGTAAATACTAAAACACTTTGAAAAAACAAATACTATATGTTATTGGGAAAGTATCAAATCATAAACAACAATGTAATGAACAAAAATTTAGAAGTAAAATTCATTTGAAATTTTGTAACATCGTTTATGCTACACCCTCTGTGTGTGTGTGTGTGTGTGTGTGTGTATATATATATATATATATATATATATATATATATATATATATATATATATATATATATATAGAAGGATAAATTGTGGAGATTCTCACAAGTTCATTTAAATTTAAGTTATCTGAAAATTCAACCGAGAAAGAGTTAATAAATTTAAAAAAAATGAATCTATCACTTGTGCAGATTGTTTCCCTTGAGCAATTATGTCATAGTGATACTCTTTAAACTAGGGCCCCCCCCACAAAAAACGTATTACCTAAGGTTTAAAATGAATTTAAAAAAATGAAAAATCTTCCTTGAAATTTTTATTTTAGTTTTAATTTCAAGCTAATAGATTAAATTTAATATTTCCAATAAGCAAAATATTTTGCTGTATTTCAAAAACTAATTTAAATTGACTTGAAATAAGTTTTTCTTTCTAAAATAGCTGATTAGTGTCCTTTTTTAGTTTTCTTTCATCGCAGTTGCAATTATTAGCAGAGTAATACTCTTTAAACAATTTGTTTCTAATAAAAGACTACACAGAATCTGATTTACTATGAAAACAATAAATTAAATCTTTTGGGCTGCTGTTTGTGTTACTTTAATCTTTAGTTCATGTCAATGAATTATGTTTGATTTTGGTGTGTCAAGAATTTATAATTTTCATCATGATTTATTTTCTTTCTATTTGCTAAATAGCTTTAAAAAATTTTTCTAGTATATCATAAACAAATTATGGTTAAAATAATTGTACTGAAACATACGTGTGCACATTTAGAATCATATATGTTCATGTTGAACAAATTTTTATCCATTAACTATTGTTACTTTAATTTTCTGTTTTTGTGTACTTGTTTTTCTGTAATGTTAAAATCATTTATTCACACTAACTTCAGTTATTGATGTTTTTTTGTCATGTTTATTTAAATTTTTTATTAGTTTCTGAAACAGATGCTGATGTTGAATCTTTGGCTACATTGAGTGATGATGACTCAAGCAGCCAGTATGACAGTGACTTCTATATTGTCCCTCTGCCAGACTGTTTTGATCCTAGCAAGCCACTCTTTCCTAGTGTCTCTGAAGGCTCCAGCCAAGGGGCATGTCAGCTGGACAGTGGCATTGAGGCACAAGTGGATGATAACCACAATACAATTGTAGCCACAAGCAATAGCCTGCCTCCTTCACAAGGTCAGTTGAAATATTTGTCTCTTTTTCTCTATCACATATATACATACAAATGCTCCAAAAGTAAAGCCTTATAACACTAACAAAAAGCAAATCTTCTGTTAATATAATCACTGGTTATATACCTTTTCTAGAGTTAAAATTTGCACCAGCAGAGGTGATCAGCTTTATTACAAAAATGCATTAACCATAGTGAAATTATATTCACAGCCACTGTTTAGTCTCCATAGATGTTTAGCAAGTGACAAGGAATATCAGTGGATGCAGTTTTTCTTTATAGAGGACATTATTTAGTCAAATGGCCACTCATTTGTTTTGCATGCTCTTTTATATCAGACATTATTTAGTCAAATGGCCACTCATTTGTTTATAACAAGGCACAAAAAATTATGGGTTATTGGTAGTAAGGTTCAACTTTCATTGCAACATTGCCAACCTAATAAAATATGAGGCATTATTTTGGAGTTAACCTTGTATAAACATATGCATACAGTTTTTCTTGTTTCTCCACTCTTCCAGATATTCCTTTCTATACTTATATATGTATTTTTATATTTAAAAAATTCTTGATTACTCTTATATTTAAAGTAATTTGCATCTGTTTTGAATGGTTTTTTGAAGTTATATATTTTTTTTATCTATTCATCTCAGTTTTTAATACACAGTATCATTTCAGTTTTATGCAGCTAAACTTTTATTAAGTTTTTCATAACAAACCAAATCTCTATTTAAAGTTTTTTTATTGGATATTGGCAATGTTTAATATATTTACCCATAAAAAACAGTATATGTCAAAAGGATGGTGTTTCTCCTGACATTGCTATTACTGTATACTTCCTTGGTAGTTGTTATTGTTTTAGAAAGCTATTTTTAGAATTTTAATAAAAACTAAACATATGAAACAGGATTTATGCATTCTCTTTTTTCTTGAGAATTGACAACAAAAAAATTAAACTCTATTGTAAATAAACAGTCTAATTAATAAATAATGTTTAACATTTTTGTTGTCAATTTTGTTGCGAAACAGATATTGTAGTTGTTTCATATATTTTTATAAACTTGTAAATATAAAATTATTCTTGTAAATAAACAGTCTAATAAATAAATAGTGTTTAATTCTTTTGTTGTCAATCCTTGAGGAAAAAAAGAGAATGCATAAATCCAGTTTCATATATTTCTGTTTTATTAAAATTCTAAAAATAGCTTTCTGAAACAATAAAAATTGTTGGAGGGGCATACAGTAGTAGTAGTAGTAGTGGTGGTGGTATCAAGAGAGAACAAATGTCTTTTTGAACAAACTGTTTTGTTTGTTTTGTGGGACATTTATGTTAAATTTTGTCTGGATTCTTTTACTTAAAAAAAAAAAAACGTTTACATGTTAATTTTGTTTATATGATTACTCTATTGATATCATTGCATTTTGTATTTTTCTAACTTTGCAGCATGTGCAGCATCTGTTGATGAATTGATGACTTGTACCAATGTCAGTGTCCCACCTCCTTTGCATCCAACCCTAGCCCTGGCTGATGAATCTAGCAAAGAGGTAGAGGCTGCCTCATCTCCAAGCCCAAGCCGAACTGCACATCTCCTCAGCCCGTCCAACATGGCAGCAGATGCTGCAGCTGCTGGTGAGTGTGTGGATTCCAGTCCCAACAATATATTGGTACAGTGCAGACAGCAACAGCAGCAGCAGCATCACCATCAACAGCAACAGGAGGTTGAAGCAGCAGGTGCACCAGCTGAATCTGGACATTGTGCTATGCCCCAGCAGCCGGCTATGTCAAGAATGGACATCAATGCTGCCACTGGCAATTTAAAGGAAGTAGACATTTTACCCTCAAGGTAGACATTTTCTTATCATTCTGTATCCACTGCTTCTTTTATTGCTTTCTAGTGATTGTTTTGTGCATCACTTTCTAATATGGTCTCCTTGAAAATTGACTCTTATATAGCAGATATATCTTTTAGTCTATAGAAGTGATTTTATTCTGTGCTTTCTACCTGTTGCTTCTAATCCTACTGAATGCCTATTGAAATGAGATCTATTTGTCTTACTCTATAATAATTATCATTTTAATAGTTCAAAAGATAGTTCAACAGAAAAAAAAGTATTTTGATAATTTAAATTTTTCAGTGAAACTAGGTAATTAGTTTTCTACTTACTATTGCATTGAGTTAGGACCCATAAATTTGAAATGTAAACATTCTGGTAAAAGTAACAAATAATTTTGTTGCTATTTACATTATTTACATTGTTTGGACTGTTGTCCTCATCTTTGTTGCCATATTCACAATGTTTCGGTCATTGTATGCTCCCGCTTTCTTCAGGTGATTGGAATTTCGAACTGAACCCTTTATTTTGTTCACCTGAGTAGATTGTTCTAGTTTCACATGCTATGCCTCTTCCGGATTTCTCAGTATCAGTTATTTCCTTTTAATTCAACTCTCCAAGTTTTTTGTTCACTTCAGCTGTAGCCAGCTATTGAACTCGCAACTCTTTGGGTTAAGTCACTGGATTCAACCTACACTGAAGAAGGCCGGAGCATACAACGGCTGAAACGTTGTGAATATGGCAACAATGATGAGGACAACAGTCTGAATGATGTAAATAATTACAATACCTTATCTCAGAAATATAGACAAATTTTGTTGCTTTGTAGAAATTTTCTGAGAAAAACTTTAGCTTCTTGGATGTTGTCTTGTTCTTGTCCTCCTATAGGACAGTTTTCACTTTACATCAAGTTCTCTATTCCTGGCATCCATAGAAGTAATTACAGAATAAAATTAATTATATAGATAAAAATTAATGTTTATGTTTTTGCAATTTGAGACGTATGTGGCTTTCAGATTTCAAGACCCTCCATAATGTTGAATTTTTGCAACTCCATTTGATTTAGTAGCAAAGTGTGTCCTCTTTCCCCATGTTTTCTTCTATATCAGCATTGCTAGTTAAATTGTTTCCTCTGTATCAGTGCATGGTTTTTGCTGCAGCAGATTATCTAGCTGTGATTATTACTTTTAATAAAGAAAATATAAGCAGTATCATTTTCGTTTTATACTTTTATTATTTAACATGTATATAACTTGTTCAGAATTACAATGAACAACAGTTCATCTATTAGACTAGGCTTAATTTCAGTTAGCAGTCCATCTGGTGATCTTATTTGTGACTAAAACTTAATACAAAACAATTTAATTTAAACCTATTTGGTAGCATTTTTGTACCTTTTGACATCATAAAATGAAAAAAAAAAAACTACAACAACTGTGAAATTAAAAAAAATTGGAACATAAAATCATGTGAGGGGTTTTAAGAAACTTAGATGATCTTAGTCATACATAGAGAAAATGGTATTTCACTTTGCAATGTTTATTAAATTGAATTTTTCAGAAATTACTTTTTTCATTTATTACTTTTATTTTTTGAGGTCAAAACACTAAGAATATTGTATTGGCAGGAAGTAACCGACCAAGGTTTTCCTTTACAAGAATGACTGATAATGGTTAGGAATATGGCATATATCTTAAGATTTGTTAACATATAAGGATTCCTTTAATTTTATCTTACTTAATCACTACTTTTATATAGATAGGCTGTTTCTGGTATGGAGTATTTATCTGTGTGCTTGCTTGAATATCAATCTGGCACAAGCTTCATGCATACATTAGACCAGAAAATAGTTAAGTCTTTTCAGCATTTCTCATTTGGAGATGCTTTAGGTACCAGGGAATAACCCTAGCCCTCATCCATGACAGAGGTACTGCCTGGTGGTATGGATAGTCTTCTGGCTATTTCTTGCGATGTATATTTCAGTTTAATGTGCCTAAAACATTCATTGTTGTAATACATGTTTAAAGTTATTAAACTTTAGATTTTACATTATTTAGAGGTGTGTTTTATAAATTCTAATGCACTACAGATTTATCTCATGTGGAATTTATTTCGTTCAAATCTTTAACTTTTTCATTTCCAGTTGACTATTCTTCCTCACCCCCTTTCAAGAGGATCACAGGCAAAATTAAAAGGGAATAAAATTTAAAAGGAAGGACAAAGAGAAGAAGTGTAGGGGATTACTATGAATTGCAGTACAATAAAAAAATACCTGAATAATTTAGATATTGCAATAGACATTTGCTTATAACACAGAATTATTGAAATTATTAAAAATTCCTTTTATCTTCCTCTTCCTCCTGTTAACAAATCATTTCTACTTGCTCTAAGTTTGAGTTTATTAACATCATATTTTATTCCAAGGAAACTTATTGTGAAAGTGTTGGCTTCCTTATCATTATTTGTACCTTCTAATGTTTCCAAAGAAATAAGAATTTCATTCAACACTACATGTATTAAAAACAAAGATAGTCGATCAAAAAATTCAGAAAGACTGGATTGTAGTTTCAGAGAAAAAGGCTAACAGAATCATCAAGCTTCAATTATGTAACCTCAGCATCCATTGGCAATTTTTGAAGAATAGTTGAACATTCTCATTTACCAACAACTTTATTCAAATAAAAATAAACTGAATTAACAATTACCTGTATATATTTTGTATATTTTGAGTATAATCGCCTTGGTTCAGATTAAAAAAATTTTCTTTTCTTTTTTATATATAGCATTTTGATGAGGTGATTTAATATAAACTGATTAAAAGTAAGGCAAAAAACTAAAGGTATTATTTATGGCGGGGAGGAACTCCATCTTAAGAAACCTGCTTGTAGTTCAAGGGAAATCATTTTTAGAAATAACGTTAGGAGTAAAGCTCTAGTTTTAAACAAGCTATATTGTTCACTAGTTAATTAAGGTATCCTTAAAAACATGAAGCGAGTTGAAAATGAATGAAAAGGTGGAGGAGGGTGGAATCAAAATTGGGTCACAGTTATATGCACATCTGTTCATTTTATTAATACTGCTTTTCTGTTATTCATTTTATTTGGATGCATTGCTTTGTTTTATTTTTTTTTTTTTTTTTTTTTTAGCAATTGTTAAACAGTCACCACAATAATAATAATAACAACAACAACAACTATGTAATAGATAGTAATACATTTGTACATTACTTACAGGCTCCTGCTGTTTATTGGTTGTATTCTCTGAAAATTTATTCTTTTTATTTTTATTTATAAAATTCTGGTTGTTTTATATTTTAGCTTTCTAAAAAGAATTTCAATTAATAGCTAAAGGCTAGCAATGTTATGAAGATTCATGATTAAAAAGAAAATATTTGTAATTTTTCAATTTTTTTTGTACAAGGGAAATTATAATGTTTTAATTTTTTATCTTCATATTTCTCAGCATTGAAAAAAGGCAAAAAAAAAAAAAAATGACTACTTTGCAATAGGTGGGGAGGTTGGGGGTCAATAAATATAAAAGTTTGAGCTAATGAAAAGGCTTTTTCAGGTGATTGGAAAAATGTAAAAAAACATAATACAAGTTTTTATGAAATTTAAAAAAATATTAAGGTATATTTGTCTCTGTATTAGGACATAAATCTTAAAACAACAACAAAAAATACCATGAACCATGTTAATTTATTTTTTAGAGAAATATAATCCTTAAATTATGACTCTGGTTCCAAATGACACAGCAAAATATTTTCTGTAAAATATTGTGTAATCTGTTCTTTAAAATAATGGCTTTTTATCAGTCATACCAAACTTTTAAATACAATATTAAACACTTTTAATATGAAGCCAGTTTTTTAGATGCTCCTAAAAAGGCACATCTGAACCTTTCCTATTTTATTGCCAAATATTTTATTGGTCATTTCTATTTCACTGTGCAATCTAATCAAAAATAATATTTTTAATGCATGTGCAGATATTTTTTAACACTTATTTGCTAGTAGCTCTATTCTTTTTTTATAACATAGCTATGAAAATAACATTTTTCGTTCTTTTCCATTTAAATTTCTTTAGAGTATTTTCTGTAAAGTTTATTTTCCAAAATGAATTGAAATGCTTTGTTACAAGCCAAATGAATTGTTCACTTCACTTCATTTCCAAACATTTAGTTATTTACTGAATTTTTGATACAAAGCCATAAACATTCAGTGAAGATTAAACTCATTACTAATTATCAGCAAGACTTTTGCTAACCATTCACAATATGGTAACCCATGTTTATGATCCACCCCAATAAATGTTTAGTATTGTAATATGTATTGCATGGCCGGCTTTAAATCCTTTCAAGGGACATAACTCACTAAATTCAAGTTAATTGTAAATATAAACATTCTGTTATACCAAGTCCAAATAATAAACTGATTTTATGTATTTTAAACTTTCATATCAAAGGCTTTTTACTTGCTAAGAAATTGTATCTAAGTTATCCTATTTGTAATCAGTTCTTGTTTTATCATCTATTAACCTTTGTTAGTAAAAAAAAAAATGCTGTAATAAGAAAGGATGCAAATATGTGCCTGTACTTTTTTCCTAGACATCTGGATAGAGTTGAACTTAAGTTTGTGTATTATATATATATATATATATATATATATATATATATATATGCATTATATAGACCACATAAAGTAGAGGATTTTTAGAAAAACTGAATTCTTAAGCATTTGTCATCAATAGTTGAAGTGTAAATTCTAGAAAAATAAAACTAAAATATAATAGGTCAGAAATTATTTGAATTGCTTATAGGTTTATGGATTTTGTATTTGCCACATTTTTATAACTTTTTAATTCAAAATAAATTCCTTGAAACATTTTATTTTAGAAAATAAGTTAATGTATAGAGCTTATGTAGTTGAATTGTAATTTAACATTTAAAAAATAATAGAGCAAGGCATATTAATCCATAAAAATTTAAAATGCATTTAAATTTTTATGTAAAT